GTAAAACAGAATCTTGAGTTTGCATAAGTAATCTGAGAGGGGAGGAATGAGTGAGCCCAAGAATAGAAATAGTTGGAAATGAAAATAGGAGTAAAAGAAAGGTGGCAGATCAAGTTGGAAGGAGACTGGGGATTGAGAAGTAAAAGCCAGGGAGTTCTCTGCAGCAGCATGGCCAAGAAACTTTCATGAACAGGGATGTCTAATGCTTAATTGGATGTTGTTTGCTGAGCTGTGACAAAATAGAACACTCTTTCTTAATCTTAACCTCCAGAATATTAAGTAAAGGTTTCAAGGCAAAGTGACTCTGTTCTTCATTTGGGTGTATGCCCAGGAATAATGGAAAAACAAATCCATATGAGAGAGATTAGAAAATTTGAGATAAGAAAGAAATCAGAAAAAGATATAGCTAAGAAAAACAAAAGCCCTTGAAATATTGTAGAAGATTTTCCAACTGCATATGACATAGAGTCTGGAACTAGTATTATTTATTTGTTAAAGGAAAGTGGGACTAAACATTCTGAAGAAATTGGGACACCCAGGAAGAAGGCATCTGGGATGCAGTTTCTAGATGGAGCTATGATAGAAACAGAGAAAGTGACAATTGGGAGGCAAGAACGCCTGAATGAAGACATTATAAGATATGAGAAGCAAATAAATTGTTTTCTTAAGCAGGATGGTGAATGTGTTGCATGGATGCAGGTGGAGAGACACAGAGGAGAGGATACCAATCTAGAGTCATTGAATTAATTGATAGAAAACTTTAAAAGGCCACCAAAGGATGGGAAAGTGCAGAAGAAGATAAACCCAAGCTATAATACAGAAGTAAAATTTCCAATTTCTAGCAAATTATGGGATGTAAAATGATGATGTACTTCACCAGATGTTAGTATAGGAATCCAGGATTAGATGACTGGAATGATGGCATTTGCACTAATTGAAACAATAGGTGAAGGGAGCAACAACTGAACACACATTTCTGACACTGTCCTATGTAAACTTGTTCTCTCAAACCAGATCATGAAACTGTTTCGTACAAGGACTAGCAGAGTACCCCATATAAATGTTTTTTAATGGCAGTCATCTATTGTGGGTACTATCCATGGTGCCTTTTTTTAGAAATTGTAGAAATTGAACCCATAATTTTTAGCTGAGCACATCGCTGCCTAGAACAAATACTACATTTTCCAGTCTCCATTGCAGCAAGGTAAGGCCTTGGAACTATAACTAGGCCAATGTGGAAGAATATTTAATAAAACAGGGTGTATCTTTTAAATTGAGTGGAGCTCAATTATCTACTCAAGACTATGAGCTGGGCCTGGCGTGGTGGCTCACACCTGTAATCCTATCACTTTTGGAGGCTGAGGCAGGCAGATCATGAAGTCAAGAGATTGGGACCATCCCGGCCAACATGGTGAAACCCCATCTCTACTAAAAATACAAAAATTAGCTGAGCGTGGCAGTGCATGTCTATAGTCCAGCTACTTAGGAGGCTGAGTCAGAAGAATCGCCTTAACCCAGGAGGCAGAGGTTACAGTGAGCCGAGATCACGCCACTGCACTCCAACCTGGCAACAGAGTAAAACTCCATCTCAAAAAAAAAAAAAAAAAAAAAAAAAAAAAATGACTGAGGTATAAGCTACAAATGGATAATGGCAACCAAAATAGAGCCTCGTTCCCGGACAACTTCCTGAAATCTCCCTACCAGCCACAGATGGACTGCTCAACTCCAGGTTTTCTTTATATGAAAATGAAACACACTTCTATCTTCTTTATGCTATTGTTGTGTTGACTTTTCTGCTTTTGCAGCCAAGTCTAATTCTCTCTAATATAACTACCTTGAACATTTTTGCTATTTACTTCAGTTCTGGTTTTGTTTTCAAAAGTAAAAATAACTCCAAATACGCTTCTTTTTAACATTTAGAAATATTCTGAACTGCTGACCAGGCAGTCTTTACATTTGTTTGAAAACATTTTTAATCTGATAAGTGGCATGGTAAAAACATCCCTATAAACACAACTTTGCTTACCACAGAGGCTTATTGGGATATCGGATGCTTGATTAATATGTTTGCTAACCAAAGAGATCAACCAAAATTATATTGAAAACAGTGCTTATAGTGCTCAAGTCCTAAGCCAAGGGCATTTAGCAAACTGAAAGTTTCACTAAAACTGCAGAAAAGAGCAATGGTCAGCAGAGAAAATGTGTCTCTCTCTCTTCTTTCCATTGAATCCATACAGACTTGTGGATACACAGAACATTAGAATACATTTGCATGGCATTTCTTTTAATTATTTGCCAAAAGCTAACAGTTTTAGTCTTTTGTTGATCATTTAAATTTCCCTGCTTTTTATTCTTTAGTGTTCACATTGGACTGAGAACTATAAACCCTCGAAAAGTGCTTCCTTTTACCTGATTTTCTCACATGGACAATGCTTTGTTAGACATAGAACTCCACAAATCGTCTATTCCCAAACCCTTTTTTCATAGATAAAATTGATATGGGAAGGGGGCAGGGAAGTGCTGGGTAGAGAAAGATGGGGTCCCTGGCTAGGGCTCCACCCCTGGGCCTGTGCCCACAGACCTAGTGAGGACAGGTATTTCTGTTTTGTTGCATTTTCTTTTTTCTGGTATACCAAGGCAGGAACCCAAGATACAGAAAGCCCTCTGTCCTTGACATAAAGCAGAGGGTCTAATTAAGCAGATTAACGCAATCCACCTTCAGACTGCAAAACTAAATGAACACACTGTAACACGTGCCCACTAGAGCTTCGGGAGCTGTAAACACTCAACCGTAGATGCTGTTGTGGGGTTGAAGCCCCACAACCTGCCCATCTGCATGCTCCCCCTAGAGCTTTCAGCATCAGGGCACTGAAGAAGCAAGCCACTCCCAATGTCACATGCCCTATGAGGGTGACAAGGGAACATTTCCCATTTCAAAATGGTCAAAAAAGATGAGCAAACTTAACTAAATCTTTCTCAAAATAACTGTTTATTCATTCATTGATTCATTAATTCCTGTATTCATTCATCCAACTACTCTTTTTTTTTTCCAGAATACTTCTATGAATTTTTTTTTCTTTCTTTTTTTTTTTATTGCATTTTAGGTTTGGGGGTACATGTGAAGAACATGCAAGATTGTTGCATAGGTACACACATGGCAGTGTAGTTTGCTGCCTTCCTTCCCCTCACCTGTATCTGTCATTTCTCCCCATGCTACCTCTTCCCACCTCCCCACCTCCCCGTCCCTCCCCCATTTCCCCCCAAAGGACCCCAGCGTGTAGTGCTCCCCTCCCTGTGTCCATGTGTTCTCATTGCTCAACACCCGCATATGAGTGAGAACATGCGGTGTTTGATTTTTTGCTCTTGTGTCAGTTTGCTGAGAATGATGGTTTCCAGGTTCATCCATACTCTTTAATTCTTATTAGGCATAAAGCACTGCAGAAGGAGAGAGCTATAATACAGAATAGGACACGAGACCTGCCTTCTATACATTTTCAACTTAGTGAAGATGCCAAGAAATTATCCAGATAATTAAAAGAAATTATTCAGATAATTAAAATACACAAGCATTTCTACAAAGAATCCGGAAAGAGGAATGGAGGAGAAGAATAGCTGAGCGAAGACTTTATGAATCAAGTTGCATCTGGGATGAAGCTTAAAGGATCTGAACAGGTGACAGTGGAACAGGTGCTGCAGAGAAAGGAGTGGCTTTCTTTTTCAATTCTAGATAGTGATTTTTATACGAAGGCTTTTTCCTTAAATTATTTTAAATTAACATTTGGATAGCAGAATAAAAGCAAAATATTTCCTAAGAAGCCAGGGATGAGACAGACTTTGGAAAGCTTGGCCTAATGGTTAATGCTGCATTAAAAAGTGATGCTTAGTAGAATGATGGTTACCAGAGGCTGGAAAAGGTGGTGGCGAGGGGGTTCGGGGGGAGTGTGGGTGGTTATGGGTACAAAAATAAGTTAGGGAGAATGAATAAGACCTAGTATTTGATAGCACACAGGATGACTGTTGTCAACAATAATTTATTCTACATTTTAAAGTAACCAAAAGAATTTATATTTGGAATGTTTGCAACACAAATAAATGATAAACGCTTGAGGCAATGGATACCCCATTTACCCTGATGTGGTTATTATACATTGTATGCCTGTATCAGAATATCTCATGAACATCATAAATATACACCTAATGTGTACCAATAAAAATAAAAATAAATTAAATTAAAATGATGCTTATCAAGGTACAAATGTATCCCCATCCAAGTTCAGCAGCTGCAGGCCCATGCTAGCATTCAGTGACTGGGGAAAACTGCTGTAGTATGCTTTAGAAACCATGTGCTATGAGCAACTATTCACAAAGTATCAGAAATTAAATGACTAAAAAATATATCAGTAATAAGTAAAAGAGTAGGATTTCAGTTTACAAGTGAAAATCAAGACAGAGGTACAGTATCAAGGAAAATAAAATTTCATTTTCCTTCATATTGTAATGAATTAAGCAGCCTAGAATATAAACATTCAAACAAATTGTTTGAAATGCAAATGACATTTAAAGAAAAGTCATGGTGTCTACATGGATTATTACAAATAAATCTCTTTTCAAAAGTACCTATTTTCATATATTGCAGTATATATACATTTCATACTTACATTGCAGTATGTAAGAAAATAGTTTCTCTTTTTCTCACATTTGTGCTTGAGTATGATTTTTAGTAATAGAACAATATCTGGAACTAACTAGGCATTCATTAATAAGTAGTACTAAGTAATGACAACATATGCATATTCAGAAAATTTTGATCATGACTTTTACAACTCTAAGAATACGGTTTTTACATAGTGAAATGTTAAGCTTTTCAGCCATTCTAACTACTTACATCCTTACACTGGTATTCCTCTATTACTCACCATTTCATAACATGTTTTATAGTGCACTTAAAAAGAAATGTACATTTTAGCTATGTAAGTCTGCAGGTAATTTCAGCCACTAACCTTGCTGTCTTCTTTCTCCTTGGCTTTTCCTTGGAGGGGTTTCTTCTCTCCAAATTCACAGGTTGATTTTAATGCAAGCTGACAAGAAAGCATGGAGCTCTCTGTTTCAGCAAGTTCCAAAGGTCTTGAAGAACAGTGCTGTGACCCAGTCGTGCCAAGATTTGGTATCGGAAGAGCACTATGCACAGGCTTTGACCCAACAGCTGGCTGCCTCAGTTTTGAGGCAACCCCAAGAACAGGCATGGCTTCTATAAAAGTATCTTCTTGCTGCCAAAGAAAATGCTTCTAACCTCAGTCTTCCAGACTCCAACTTTAGAATTTCCAGAACGAATACTTTAAACAAAACTAGCAGCCATCCTGATTTTTAAAAAACTACTAGTATAATTTTCAGGAAGAGGCAAAACTTCCCTGCATCTTTAGTTAAGTATCTTTCTTTTTTTGCTGGCTGGGATTCATTCTCATTTCTCTCTCTCTCTCTCTCTCTCTCTCTCTCTGTTCAGTAACGCAGTATCTATGTAATACTAAATACTCCTTTGGGGAGTAAACTTTTCTTGAAGGTAACTGCCACAAAGCTCCTTTTTTTCTCACTAAAGCAGTCAAAGTCTGAACTTTGAGAGTAAAAAAGAGGAAAAAACAAAAGGAAAAACCCTTCAGTCCAGCTGTCAGAGCAGCCAAAATACAGCAACAGTGGAAGGACAGGAGTTCTTCCTGATTTCAGAAATAACCAGCCTGCATTCTCTTTTTAAAGAAAATTGTATTTCCCCCAGCTTAGAAAAAAAAAGAATGGACATGTTAATGGCCAAAACAAACAGCTGTTGGAAGAACTTTTAGCCCGGAAACAATCTCAGCAATAAAGTTGTTTGCCTGATTTCCAGCTATTTTTCACTACTGACAGCCATGAGCCGCGATGTTCATTCTGCTGCATCCCATGAAATCATGCTAAAATCATACAATCGTGCAACCAGCTAAAGCAGTTAAATCATTCATCGGACCATAGCTGCCTAGGTTATGAAAATAGAGTAAACACAGGGAACAGGACACTAAACATATAGTAATTGGTCCCAAATTTAATGTCATGATTATAAAAACATTCAAAGATAATACTTATGTGGAGTGTATTACAAAGCAGTTATTGAGCTAAGCATTTTATGTTTTATCACCTTTAATCATTGGGATGACTCAAAGTATAGGCACATTTATTTTCTTTACAGAAAGAATATCTATGACTTGGATACACAGAAAAATTTGACTAAAATCATGAAGCTAGAAAGGGGGAAAGTTTTTAGTTTATTTATTTTTAGTTTTTAAACCCACCTTTTAAAAACGGTTGAATATAACACTGTGATTCAAGCTTATTAAGTCCAACTTAAAATCCCAAGCTTCCAAAAGTATCCAAACAGATACTCAATGACAATGAACGATGATGTGCCTATGCATAGAATTATTTTATTATAATCACATCATGTTCCATTTCTGGCTAAAGCATGTCAGGAACTTTAAAAAAATAAGGGGTAAACTTTAAAGAAAATATCAAATGTACTATGCATTATTGTTCTGCAAGTGATTATACACAGATAATGGATACAGAGAACAATTATATTCACTAAATATTATAAAAATTAGTAATAAAGCAATCAAAGTTCTTAGAAAAATGAGTGGATACTTAGTATAGACACAACAAACTAGAGAAATTATTAAATAACCATTTTTACTGAAAATTTCTTTCATTAGTGAAGAAATAGTAATCTTTGGCCTATTGTTTCCAGGCCTTTAAATTATTATATACTTTTATCTAAGAGTAATTTATAGATGAAAGAGCCAATAACTAAAATAAAATGCATATGTTCTTGCTGACACAGCATAGAAGATAGGAAATGCAAGTTAGAAATTTTGCAGACTTTTAAAAAAGTAACCCAAGTGGGCTTTACACAATGGGATAATATGAAACAAATACAACACTAGTGATATCAAAGAAATAAAATAATGTCTCTGAGGAAGTAAGTTATTTTGCAATTTGCAAACCATTCAAGACATTATACCTTTCAGAAACTATAAGATAATACAAAGTCGGAGAAGTTCATATTACTAAAATGAGGTTTAGATCATGATAAGACATATGCAACTTGTAATCCTCACAATGCAAAACAAAATAGCACCGAAATAATAGAACTTGTGAGCAACATTGACTTAGGAAGACCACTCAAAACATATGCAACTTTGGGAGTATATTGCTAGCAAAAATAATATTGGCACCTCAGAAAATAATTTGGACCACCCAAGGAAGTGATTCAGAATTATCAAAAATAAAAATGAGCATAAATGCTGGCAACACTTTAACTAGAATTGGTGGAAGAAATCCAGCTGGAAGGCAAACTCCAAGCCAGTAGGCTTGCCACTCAAATGGGTACAGGGTCAGGGCAACTGCAAATATTTAATAGCTGCACAAGGCCAGGAGCATGCCCCTTTGAAGAGGAAGCCCCAGATGCAGGCATTCATTTTTGTTTTTGTTTTTAGTTTTCTTAAAACTGAGACAAAAGGGCTCCTGCTGACTATATAACATTCAAACTGAGGGCATCTTTGCCCTCCCAAGGTTACAATTCTACTGTATTTCTGCCTCCCTTTTACTAGAGTATATTGTATATAAAGCTATACAACTTCCATATTATACTAATATAATATTTTCTATTTGCCAATTGCAAAGGAGTTAATTGGTATTTTAGAAACATATGTTGGAGGAGAAGGTGCTGTAATTCTTGGAACGATTAGATTGAATTTTTTAAAAAGGGTGCACATTCAATAAGATGTCTTTTCACTTTGAAATGCCTTTTGCATATTAGGCAATATCTTTCACTCCAACTGAGATGTAAGATTGGTATTAGTAGCCATTGTCAATGAACTTCTTGGAATAATATCTACCACCAAAAGGAACAAAACCAAGTTAACATACTATAAAAAATGTACTGTGTGCCAGGAGTTGTCATCTCAATTTATCTTAAAAGAACCACATCATTTTGAGACCTTAGAGACAAAAGCACTGAGAAAGTAAATAGCTAGCTTACGGTCACTGTTATTTTATAGATGAAGTTCAAAATGAGATTTTCCAACCTGAGTTCAACAAATCAGATGTGACGGTGACTTGCTAAAAATAGATGAAATATAAAAATATAGATGAAAAATATAGTGCTTGCTAAAAATATAGATGATTGCACTCTTCTCAGACCCACTGGGTTAGTCCATTTTTGCTACTATAACAGAATATCTAAAACTGGGTAATTTATAAATAACAAGAGATTTGCTTCTTACAGTTCTGGAGGCTGGGAAGTATAAAGCTGAGGGGCCCACATGTGGTGAGGGTCTTCTTGCTGCACCTCCCCACGGTGGAAGGTGGAAGAGCAAGAGAGCACTCATATAAGAGAGACAGAAAGGGCCAAACTCGCTTTTATAACAGCCTACTCTCATGATAATCCCACTACCACAATAACAACATCAATCCATATATGAAAGTAGTGTTCTCATGGCCTAATCACCTTTTAATGTCACCATCTCTTACTACTATTCACAATGGCAACTAAATTTCAACATGAGTTTTTGGAAGGGACACAAAATTCACTTTGAAACTATCATGAGGGAGAGTGAAAGGTCTGAGAATCATATTTAAGTAAACTGATTCTTCTAAAAATTAGAATTTAAGATCTGTAAATTATAGGATTTGTAGTTTGATAGGTCAGGCAATGATCTGTCAAGTAGAACTGCTTATAAGCAAATTTCCACTTCCTTCCTTACTAGTTACATGAATTTGGAGGCTGCTGTGTCTCAGTTTCATCTATAAAATGGGGCAAAAGAAATAGCTGTACTTCCTTCACAGGGGTGCTGTGAGAATTAAAGGAAGTAAATGTATGATGTTGTTAGGACAGTCTTCCACATAGTAAGTGTTCTATAAATGTAAGCTATAAATGTTACAGGAAATCTAGTCATAAGAATTAGAGAAATAAAGTCATGAAGCCTAATACAGCCATGATCATAAGGATTAATAGAACTGAACTCAGGAAAAAGATTCTGAAAATTAAAATGAAATAAATTATTTGTCATTTTATTCCCATCACATTTAATAGGAAAGAGACAATGACCCTTGAAATACCTTCTAAAGCTAAGGTGGAGTTTTAGGCAATAAGAGAATTCCAACCTGGCTAAATTTTAATATTAGTAATTTTAAAAATAAGTAATAAAATCTCATAAAATGGCAACTTGCAAACCATGATTCTTAAGAGTGAGAGAAAAATTATTCAACTGTCAACAATAAAGCATGCTTGCTGAAAGGAAAAATATGATTGGATTGTCAACTCTGATATTTGCTGAAAATATAGGAAAGTCATATTCCATTTTTTTTTTTCTTTTTTTTAAGACAGACTCTTGCTGTATCCTCCAGGCTGGAGTACAGTGGTACCACCTCAGCTCACTGCAACCTCCACCTCCAGGTTCAAGCAATTCTCAGGCCTCAACATCCCTAGGACCTGGGATTACAGGCAGGCACCACCATGCCTGGCTAATTTTTGTATTTCAGTAGATATGGGTTTCGTCATGTTGGCCAGGCTGGTCTCAAACTCCTGACCTCAAGTGATCTGCCCTCCTCAGCCTCCTAAAGTGCTGGGATTACAGCATGGGCCATCACACCTGGTCTCAAATTCTTATTTCTAACAGCTTGATTGAAGTAAAATTTACACATAAGTAAAATTCAACAAATGTAAGGAAATAATTCAATGTGGCCAACACCACTATCAAGATATTCTAATATTCCCTTCACCCGAAATGTTCTCTCACATCCATTGTAGATAATGTCTTACAACACAGGCAATATCTGAAGTGACTTCTAATGCTAGCTTTGCCTTTTCTAGGATTTAATAGAAATGAAATCATTTAGTATTTTTGTTTTTGGCTGTTTTCACTTAGCATAATGCTTTTCAGATTTATCTGTGTGTTGTATGTATCATTAGTTCTTTATTTTGCATGGCTCAAATGTATTCCATTGTTTGAATATGGGACAATTTGCTTATGCATTTATCTGGTAAAGACACTTGATTTGTTTCCATTTTGGGGATATTATGAATAAAGGTCTATAATTTTTTTGGGGGGAACAGGAGGGCAGAATTGCATTGGACAGTCACCAAGGCTGGAGTGCAGTGGTGCAATCTCAGCTCACTGCAACTTCCACCTCCAGATTCTAGCCATTCTCATGCCTCAGCCTCCCAAGCAGCTTGGATTACAGTTGTGCACTGCCATGCCTGTATTTTTGTATTTTTAGTAGAGACAAGGTTTCACCATGTTGGCCAGGCTGCTCTTGAACTCCTGACCTCAAGTGATACACCTGCCTTGGCCTCTCAAAGTGCTGGGATTACAGGCTTGAGATACAGTGCCTGGCCCCATAAATATTTATATATGTCTTATGTTGATATTTATCTTATTTTC